CCTGATTAAATGCACTCCTAAATTCTTAATAATCCGTAGTAAGCCTGAAGAAGAAGAAGAAGAAGGGAGAAACTACCAATTCCATCTTGATGTTACACAAACAGTGCAAAAAGTTACACCATTCACTAACTCTAACAGTTTGTTGAAGTGATATAACTCATTAGTTAGATTATAGGATGTTTAGTACGCCAGCTATTTTTTTGTGTGTGTTGAAGCACCAGGACCAATCACCATCAACGGGAGAGATTTAACAGAGGTTAGCTCCTTCACTTATTCGCCTGGGAAGCATCCTTTCAACTACAGGCGGAACGGACGAAGATGTCAAAGCCAGCCAGCCAACGAGCAATAATTGGGAAAGCAAGATACGCCTTCATCAACCTGAAACCTATTTGGAAATCTTCTGCACTCAACATAAGAAACAAGATTCGGATTTTCAACACCAATGTGGAGTTGGTCCTTCTATACAGGTCAGAAACTTGGCATGTAACGGAAAGGATTTCCAACAGGCTGCAGACTGCCCTCTATGGCTCCATACTGAAGATCAAATGGTCAGTCACCCAGAATTAGCAACAAGAAACTCTGGATGGGAACAAACCAACCAAGAGCCGATTGCTCAACAAGTATGTAGGAGAAAATGGAGATGGATCGGGCATACACTGAGGAGACTGTCGAATGACATCGCACGCCAAGCCCTCGAGTGGAACCTCAATGAGAAGCGACCAAGGGTGACGTGGAGGAGATCGTGTGACGTGGAGATGAGAGATTGTAGACGGTAGAAGATAGGACAAAGTGGAGATGTGTTGTTGAAGCCCTATGTTCCACTTGGAACTCAAGGGAATAATAATAATAATAATTACTCCAGCTAGCTTCTTAGCTGATCAGTGAAAGTGCTCACTTTCACATGATTTGTGTAAAGCGATTTACTAAAACACCATGGATTTCAATTACATTACTTGTATCAGGTTGAAGTACGAGATATGACATGTAGGCGGGAATATACAGCAATCAATAGGAGACGTTACTGTTGATTTTTTTTTTGAAACATGTGCGCATAGTTTAGTCTAGGTAACTGGAAATCAATTCAATAAATCAATGTACTTTTTCCTCGATGAAAAAGTACTCAGTTTCATGAAAGAACGCTCTGTTCAAATCTTTGCCATTCAATACGCACTGTGCTGTACAAATATGTATGTGATCGCTTGTTTTTAATCTTATAACAAAAGAGAGTATTACACAGTGCCCAAGTTTTATACATATATTAATAAGAGAGTATTACAATTTACTCATTAGATATGATTTGACACGTGATCTAATATAAGCCGTAAACAATGTGACACGTGATCATATTGACAACTGAAAAATAGAAATGGAGGAAAAATAAGTCAATTTATTCCATGATAATATAGTAGTTAAATTGAAGAATTATTATTATTATTATTATTGTACTAATAAACAAACACACGTTCCTTGGACAAAATTATTTCATGCCTCACCTTTAGGTCGTTGTCAGTTTTGTCACTTCGTTTATTATTATTATTATTGTTCCCTTCAGTTCCTAGTGGAACATAGGACTTCAACTGCACGTCTCCACTTGCTTCTGTCTTCTGCTGTACTTTTCACCTGCATCCGTGTTACTCCACACTGTTTCAACTCGTCTTCACACAATCTCCTCCATGTCACCCTTGGACGTCCCACTCGCCGCTTTCCTTTCGGGTTCCACTCGAGCGTTGGCCTGACACGCGATGTCACCCAACGACCTCCTCAGCGAGTGTCCAATCCATCTCCACTTTCTCCTGCATATTTGTTGAGCGATTGGTTCTTGTTTTGTTTGTTCCCAGAGTTTCTTGTTGGTGATTCTTCCTTTCTTCGTCTATACTTGTATAAATTGTTTTTGGTTGGAGGATTTCATCACGAGCAGACATCAGTTAGAGAACCATTGGAAAACCAGCAGGGAGTACTAGAAAGGTGTTTCATCCTAGTTTATTACTCTTCAGTAGTATGCACCCAATGTAACTTTTGTGTCAATGAATATAAATTCATCACAGTGAATTATATGTGGCCAATACAAACTGGCAACAAGAAATGTTCCCACCCATTTGAAAAAAAAGTTATTTCCCACCATTGAATTAACCACTAAGGTCCTGGGTTCGATCTCCAGTCAAGGCATGGGGATGCGTGTTACCGAAAAGCTTCAAACTCTAGAACGAAATAGATGTCCAATACTCCCTGCTGGTTCCCTGACTGATATCAATCTGTGACCAAACCTGGGTCTAGTTAAATCTCTACCAACCAAACATTTGATGAAAAGGATAAATGAGACGTGAAATCAATGTCTCATTCAATCTGATTAATAATACTGTGATGAAATTATTCACCAATTATGACTGAAAATAGCCATCCCTTTTTTTTAAAACGGTTGGATAATTGATGGACAATAAGTCCATAAAATTTACAACTCAAATTTGACGAGTGTGTCATATTTTGATATCCATCACACACGCGTACACACTCACACACCCACACACAGATGCATTCAGAGAAATTCGTGATTTACGAAATCACTACAAAATTTTTATCAGATCACTGGTTTGCATTATTACTATTATTCATTTATTTATTCTATCTGTCAGTCATATTTCCAGATCACTGGAAAATAATAAATGTATATCCTCTAATACAGAAATATTAAACGTCAGACATGCATGCATACAACTATACATAAAAAGCTACATACATACATAGGGAGAAGGAATCAAACGAAACTTGTTCATACAAGAATGAATCGAGTGTAATTTCACTTCCTTTACTTACTTAATTAATCCATGTTGAGTAAATTTCAAATTTTTCAAAGATTTACATTACTGATCTGCTGATGATGATGAAAACTTCTGACTGACTGTAGTTATACCTTATCTCATAGTGGTGGAAAATTCGTTTCTTTACTTAGACGTACGTGTGTGTGCGTGTGTGTCTGTACGTGTGTGTGCGTAGTTGTGTGTGTGCACAAGTCCAACAAACGAAAAGAATAATGATTGAATCATCAGATAAGCCTAAAATACAACAACTAACTCTCTACATACCAGTAAATTTTTTACGATTGTGTGGAAAGATAATCCATGCCAAAAGGAAAGCCATTCATCGTATACTATTGAACTTTGGATAAATAAATGCATATTTGTCAAATTTTTTCCTGATTCTCGATGAAGTCAAGTGTAATTTATTTATTTACTTACTTATTTTCTTATGATTTCTTTGGTTAACATTCGTTAAAATGATCATTTTGTTTTTTTTTTAAGAAAGTTAATCGGTAGATCAGACTGTTTATTGAGGTTTCCAGTTTGATCACGGATTGATATTACTTAGAGAACTACTGAAAACGAGGGAGAAAGACAACTGTTTGCGTCCTAGTTTGGCGAACTTCACTAGTAGTACGCAACCAACTGGGGTTCAAAATCAGCACCTCCAGGTTATGAGGCGAACTCGTTGACTGTTCAACCACTGGAAAGGAATCTGATACCCATGAATGCTAAATCCAATCTGATGCTCTCTAATGACTGACTGACTGACTGGAGGACGAAGTTGCCTATAGTTCCAGTGAGAATTCATGACCAGTGGGACCCACCAGGTCAAGTGTGAAGACGGGTCGAATTCATAGGCGGTTGGATTCCTCACCAATGTCGGAATGGTCAACAAGCTTGCCTTGTAACTTGAAGGTCCTGTGTTCGATTCCTGGCAGGGTGGTGGATTGGTACCAATGATGAGTCCCAAGCCGGCATAAAACAGCTCTCCGGTACTCTCTGGTTCCCAATGGCTATCTAAGTGATATCAACTTGTAATCTAACTTAAAAACATTTTTTTAAAACACATAAATCTGTTTTACGAGTTGATCACGGACTGATATCAGTTAGAGAACCATTGAAAACCAGGGAGTACTGGACAGCTGCTGTTTCATCCTAGTTTGGGAATCATCGGCAGTCCGTGATCAACTCGTAAAACATAACAAACCCTTACAAACCAAACCATAGAAAATTAATCTGATGCTCGCTAGTGACTTGCCACAGGATGGAGTTTCCTGGAGTTCTAGTGAGAAGTCGTGACCAGTGAGGTCCAATTAAATGTCACGTGTGTGGATGGATTTCCCACCACCAACAATGGTTGGACTCGCGCTAAATCACGAATTGGTAGAAATTAGAATTCATGGGCTGGCCATTGAATCGGGTCTCAGTGGCTGAATAGTATACGAGCTTGCCTTGTAACCGGAAGGTCCTGGGTTCGAATCCCAGTGGGTGCGTACTGCCGATGATTCCCAAACTAGGATGAAACAGCAGCTGTCCAGTACTCCCTGGTTTTCAATGGTTCTCTAACTGATGTCAGTCCGTGATCAACTCGTAAAACATAACAAACCCTTACAAACCAAACCATAGAACATAAATTTGTACAACATGACTAGGTTATTCAGATCACGTTCCTATCCTACGTTATCGAAGAGAATCCAGATGAAACCTAATCAATCAGTGTTAACCAACAATTATTCTATTAAAAGCATCGATCTTGGCGCCAACTGTAAGTTAATCCACTTCTTTCTAAGGTAAAACTGACTGATTCACTGTGTCATTTAATTAGTTATGCGAAGTTATACAATCCTATACAAATCCTACGATAAATTTTTTTTTCTTTCAAAAAACACGTCCTTCAAACTAAATATCACATGGCTAATGTCACGAAATGATTGTCAGTCACTCATAAATTCATCCATTTAGAAAATAGAACAAATTTTAATCCATCTTGTCAGTTGACTGAATCCGTTTGCTATATGTTCTGACGACACGCTCAGCAGTTAGAGAGTGTCCTAAATTTAAAGATTTATTCATCAGGTTATGTTATCCTCTGGTATTATTATTATTATTCTCATATCTCATCATAGAAAATTGCCTATCATAACCTTATGCAAATTTACAATTAATCTCTTTTCAATCTTTATATTATTATTAATTCAGCAGATCACATATCAATCAACAACAACTTCACCAACTTCGTTCGTTATTTTGAGAGGAAAACAAGCAGTCAAAAATGAATCTCAAGTTATTCCCAATTAAAATTCTACTTTATTGGATTACACTGTTTCTAAAGGGAGTTCATCTGTCTGGTAAGTAGTTATTACTATTATTATTATTATTAGTAGTAGTAGTAGTAGTATGAATTAAATTTCCACCCTAAACTTATTTTGATCATTTTTTCATTTTCAGTGTTCAACTACATAACTATGTGTAGGTTGTATGAATCTTCAGCTGTTGAAAATTGAATTTTGTACTTTTGAACCCACTTTGGTTATATTAGACTAGTGAATTTTTCATAGGTGTTTCAGTTGATATTTTATCCTTTGAATGACTTAGTTGGGAAGTGAAGTTTACATGCCCTCTGAGTATATAAAAAACAAGATAAAACCTGGTTGCTACTGTACATTTTGCTATTGTTTTAACACTCAGCCCTAGCACCTCTAGTTGCATCACTGGGTAACATGGATTTGAATATTCGGGGCGCCTTCATCTCTTGTGAAGTTGCACATATATCTTGAGCAGGAGTGCTAACAATCAGGAAACACACAGGTCTATGGCTTCCTGCCAGTCATCTCCAACCACCTAAAGGCTTTATAATTATTTTATTTTTTTATTTTCAATTTTTAAAATTTTATTATAGCTTGACTCCACACAGTGTTTTTGACACAAGTATGGAATTTTCAGCATGTGACATCGGTAGCCCAAATTTTGCAGGCCGACCATTGATATCGGGTGTGCGTCGGCCGGGGATCGAACCCCGGACCATGTGCATGGCCGGCGGGCGTCCTAACCGCTGTGCCACCGACTCACAAGGAGTGTGTCGGTTGGGGATCGAACCTCAGACCACCTGTGTAATCGGCGAGCATTCTACCTCTGTGCCACCGACGCAGTAAAAAGCAAATAACTTTTTAATTCAAGTGTAAATGCGAAAGTTAAGACCAAGAACTAACACTTCTAATGTAATCAGTTTTGACTTGAATTCAGAACATTTCTCAATTTAGATATTAATAGTGAATAGTGCTTCGGTGGTTCAGTGGTAGAACTCTCACCAACCACACATATGGTCTGGGGTTCGATCCCCGGACGACGCACTCCTTTATCTCGCTAAGTCGGAAGTAAGGCCAGCAAAGAGGGAAGGTTAGGTGTGAGGCTAGAAAACCCCCCCTCCGTAAAAATAAATCCATTGCTACTGAAACTTCAGAGCTCTAGCTCGTAGCCCTAAGCTCCACTCGGAATGTAAAGGAAAAAAAAGAAGTGAAAACAGTATGAGTATAACAATACCGCCTAGAGTAAGATGGAACTCCATCTTATTGATATAACACTACGATTGGGGCACTGTGCTAGAGTATAATTCTGGCTTAGAGAAAAACTCATCAGTCACTATTTATTATTATATTATTGTTCCCTTGGGTTCCTAGTGGAACATAGGGTTTCAACTGCACGCCTCCACTTGCTTCTGTCTTCTGCTGTACTTTTCACTTGCATCCATGTTAGTCCATACTGTTTGCACTATGCATGCACTAACATACAGTCATACAATAGGCGGAGGGGGTGGGGACAAAGTTACAGTCTTAAAAGGCAACACAAGTAGACAGAGGGAGGGGTTGATCACTGAATCTTTGTTTATCGAGACTATACCAAACATGTGCAATAGAAACGACACAACGCCGATACCAAAGATATAGAAAATATTACTACCAATAAAGTCAAACGATAAGAAACAATGGGATTATATGAGCGAAGATTGAAAGTTATGTGAGTGCCTTGATGTGATTAAGAGCAATACATTTTGTTCAAAAAGCCATCAGTGAATTACAGACCTAATAATAATAATGAATTTACATTATTTAGTTGAGGCGAAAGAACACTCCGAATGTTCTATCTAGAATGTTTCATTTCTCAATTTAATGAAATCTATATGACTTTATTCAACATCTGCTGAAACCTAATAAATTTCCTAAATATCAATATTAACTTGCTGTATACAATAGTGCTAGGTTAATAAACTTACTGACAGAGTGACAAACTTGAAAATTTAAAGTAGAAATCACGTTTATAAACAAAATTATCATTTTTTTAAGTGTTTAACCTATCTGAAATCTAAACATTCCAGTAAGGGGATTAACTTTTACTTCAACATAAGTGTGTATTACGTAAATTAGGACAAGTCAATCGATGAGACTGTGAAGCTATATCGATTGATATAGCCAGGACACATGCCACACATGCCAAGACATAACATTCCTCATCAAGTCATGTTAACTGAAATCACACTAGGTTGAGAAAGAGTTAGAATTGGTGAAATCAAAATATGGCATCAATCCATGAGGCTTCTGACTGTTAACTTTAGCAATATCGACAGTTCTAGACTGCTTGGCTAAGGTCTCTGAGACGCTAAGAATTAATAGTTTGAGACTGTCGGTGATGTGGCTCAAAATAATTCTGAATAGAGCAGATGTATTCACTCTTTATAATCTCCAGATAATTATTCTTTCTCGCTTACGTTTCTGTCCATTATAAGTTCTTCTGAATTCTTTGTGTGGTGACTAGAACTGCTGTACTTCTGTTTAGTATTCTACATTGAAAACTTAGTCACATAAATTAGATTGGTTGGAGGATCTCATCATGAGCTGACATCAGTTAGAGAACGATTGGAAAACCAACTGGGAGTATTGCCAGACAGCTGTTTCCTACGTCCTAGTTTCGGACTCTTCATCAGTTCGCAACCACCAACAGAGTTCGAACCCAGGACCTTCCCGTTTCAAGATAGCTCGTAGACCATTCATCAGCCACTGGGAACCGATCCAATGGCCAACCAGTCCATGAATTCTAACTTCTGTCAATTCATGACATAGCGCGACCACTTCGCAATGTGTTCTTCGATGAGTTACTGCCTCATCTTCAACCTACTGTACCCTACTGGTGACGGCTTCCCACTAGAACCCCAGGTAACTACCTACCTGAATAAGTCCAGTCGCTAGTGAGCATCAGGTCAATTTTCAAGTTCCAATTTTCAGCGTGCGTCGGTGGCACAGAGGTTAGGACCTTCACCAAGCATGCCCATGGTCCGGGGTTCGATCCCCTGCTGACGCACACCTGATATCAATGGTTGGCCTACAAAATTTGGGCTACCGATATCACATGCTGAAAATTTCATACTTGTACCAAAAATACGGTGTAGAATCAAGCTATAATAAAAAAATCAATACTTGAAAAACATAAATCAGAACCTTGAATATTGCGTATATTATGCAATTTCAGACTTTCCGAAGTTTTTCTACATGTAGCCTGTAGAAATATATATAACATTGAACAAAAAGTCTCACTAATTCTAAATATTTCAGTCGAATAATAATAATTTACAGTGTAAAAGGCCGAAAGCATCAACTTTAAATAACCTTTGTCTTTACCCAAAAAAAATAACTCTAATATGTATATGAATGTAAATCTGTCCCACTAATCAAAAATATGTAAAATGGACAATCCTCCTCATTTAATCCTTCTAATATTTTCCTCTCTATTTTGGCATCAAAACATTTTTGTAGATAATTTTGTGCCAATTTTGTGCATTGGAAAATATAGACGCAGACGGAAAGTAGAAAAAAAATAAAGCATTTATCAGACTGTATATACTGTAATTATTTTTTTTGCTTTGTTTCAAGTAATTGTCATTTGACACTTGAATATTAGAGAGTAGAGTAGAAAGGAAAATAATAACCGTGTCATCTAGACACAACTTGGTCAGAGTGTCATGATATTTCATCTGACCTCATAGAATGAATAATCTTCCTATGGTTAACAGTATTAATCTCTCTCTGTACCTGCTGTTCTTTACCATTCTGTCAATGGATATTGTATGCATTCATGTCTAAAAAAGTGAAGTGCGTATGTTGCTGTTTTTTATGCCCCCCCCCACCCACTCTGCTTTCTCTGTGTCTTAGAGAGAGTCTGATATTCACCTGTATCGAAAAATGTTATACACTATTTTGTGTGTGTGTGTAAGAGAGAAAGAGAAAGACAACGGATGAATACAAATCATATCAACCTATCAACCTGTCACTCTTAGTCTCGTGTATCAAGCACCCTACTGTTGTTATTATTATTATTATTCCGTTAGATATATAATGTAATATTTCCACTCCTTTATTTATATGCATGTATATAGTGAGAAGTACAGGTATATCATGCACCAACACTTATCTCTCTCTCAAGAATAATCATTTATACCTCTATAGTGGTCAGCAGTAGATGTTTACAGATACAGTCACGTGTTTGTAGCTAGGTGAATTCCCCCTTCCTCTACAACGACATCAAAGAGGTATTATTTATCAAAATAATAAAAGTAAATTGGCTGAAAAAAATAATTGCTTTTCAATGACTGAAAATAAAATCGCCATTCCAAGAGTAAATAAATATGATTATTATTATTAATAAAAATAATAACTGAGAGAAGACTTGTAACTAAATAAAAAAATAAACACTTTGTTTATTTTTATTTTATATATTGGTTGCCGTTAGATTAAAAGTTTTTCTCTCTCTCTCTCACATTCTATATTGTATTTGATAGATTTGGCTTAGTTACAAATTAAACTATACTATCCTAAACAGGGGGTAGGGATATGGGTTATTGGCTTGAATACTCGAACTTTAACAAGTCAGGCCCGGATTTCAAACCCAACTTCATAGAACTTAGTTTAGGCAGTTGGGTATAACTATCAGTGCTCAGAGAATAAGTGTGTAACTTGTTGCGTGGTATATAAAGATTCAGTTCCAGCTAGCTTAGTTCTAAATAATTAGCTAATCGGTTGCAGTACAGTATTGTATACCGTAATCCACGAGAAAGAGCTGAAACGTAACTGGCCTTTGTTGCTGTGTACTCAGTGACTAAATCTTCAGATTCTATGGATAAAAATTAATCAATTAATAACGTCACTGCCAGCCAGTCTCACACTTGACTTGGAAGACCCCAATGGTCATAACTTCTTTATCTAGAACATCATGTTACATCAACCTGAAGTCAGTTAATAGTGAAAATTAGATTAATTTCCAACTGATACATTGCAGGGATTCGACTGATTTCCATTTCTAT